CTCCTCCTGTCACTGGTTCTGGCGTGGGTATTTGTGATTGTTCTGGCAAGCTCCTGGGGGAATTACTGGAAAAGAATCAGCACTGGTGACCCTTAGCAGACTCGGTGAGCCTTGGTGGTGTCATTCTGAGCCTCGTGTTTCAAGCTCCGCTGCGTGTACTTGCTGTGCATCACCAGGTTCTCCAGAACTTGGAAAAAAAACAGAAGTGATCATTTCAGCTGGTGCTTCATCTCCTTGCAAGCCCGTTTCTGTGAGCATCTTCCTTGGGCTCCCTCTAGTTGTGTGTAAGAGGAGCTCAATACGGAGCTTAGCAACTGCCCCTCTGCGCTCTGCTGTCAGCAGCATCAAATTTTGTGTCCCAGCTGGATAGGCTGGGTGATGAGACGTGTGTGGGAGCCTCATGGGCTCGTATTTGGGTTTGCTACAGCATCACTCCTGGGTACTGCTGACTTCCTAGAGAAAGAGAAAGCTACAGGTGTGGATTTTATTCCTACCAAGCCACCCGGGAGGTGGGGAAAGGCTCGCCTGCAGCAGGGACCGGCAGCCAGGGGTTGTTGAGGGAAGAGCTAAGAGCTTTGAGCCTGGTGCCAGCTGGGTTTCTGGAGCTGCTCTTGCTGGGAGGGCTGGGAAATCCTCTGCAAATGTTCCTTCACCTGTCTCTGATGCTGCACGAAGAGGGAGTGCAGCTCCCTGTGTGGCTGGAGTAGCAAGCAGCAGTATCTGCAGCCACATCTCCCCCTCACTTCAGGTTCTGAATACCCTGAGTCTGATCCGGCGGGTCAGTGGCCAAATGCTGGAAAGCAGGGATTTCACAGAGCTGTGGAAAAAGGGGGAGTACCTGGGTAGGAGGACTACAGAAAGGACATCCCACGATAGGTATATCTGTGCAATCCTTACAGCGTGCTGTATCGTGCATGGACTTGAAAGTACAGATGTTGAAGGTAGGTTGGTTTCTGTCTGAAGTAATTTCAGAGAAATGAGCTAGGAGGAGGAGGAGATGGTTATTTTTGTTTTCATCCAGCATCAAATACATGTATGTTCAAGAAAATACAAGTAAGAGCATAAGACTGGAAAATTGGAGGAGGACAGGCAGGAGAAACCACTGGAGAGGAGCAGGAATGTTAGAGAGAACTCTGCAGAACAAGCAAGAGGAAAAAAAAAAAAAGATCGTCAGAGGGAGAATGATGGTTTGGAGCAAGCTGCAGTAGGGTTTTGGAGCAGGGTTTTTCCCTTCCTTTTTCCCTTCCTTCAGTGGAAATCATTTGCTTTGCAGGCAGTGTGTTGTGGGTTTTAGATAGATGCATGTTTTTAAACTGAGGTATGTTGCATGACTGAGCCGTGTGTGTTTCAGCCGCGTCTCTGAATCACCACTTTCCACTGCTGTGTTTGTGTACGTCAGCGACGTGGCCGCTCAGCATCCAACTTCGCAGAGGTCTAGTGGGTCGTGCTCGTGCTGTCTGTTGGTGCTCGAGATGGAGGTCTGGGATGCAGTTCCCAGGCTTTCTCATGAGCTGCCAAATGTCCCAAAGGCAGGCTGTTGAGTTTGGCGCTGGTAGCGTCGCTCATACAGAATACCCTCACCCTGGGGGCTGTGTTGCTGAATGCAGGGGTCAGGCCCGGTTTTTGTTTTGTTAACAAAGTGACTGCTTCCCCTTTTGCAATCTTCAGATGGATGTTCATGACGCCACATAATTTTTCAACAGTGAACCTCTAATTATTTTTTAAGACTCAGCATGGAAGTGTTCTGACCCTGTCATCTTTTCTGATCCTAACAGGACTTTACAGACTCCGACCCAAGTTCCAGTGGTTGTTTCTCCTGGAAATCAGCAGCTGCATACTGTAACACTCCAGACGGTGCCTCTTACCACGGTGATAGCCAGCACAGACCCAGCCTCGTCAGCAACACCCCAAAAGTTTATTTTACAAGCCATTCCTACTTCCCAGCCCATGACAGTTCTTAAAGAAAACGTCATGCTGCAGTCTCAGAAGCCAGTCTCGCCTTCCTCCTCAATCGTGTTGAGCCCAGCACAAGTTCAGCAGGTTCTCACCAGCAGCGTGCAGACAATTTGCAATGGCACAGTCAACATGGCTTCGTCTCCTTCCTTCACCGCCACGACCCCAGTGGTAACTTTTTCACCCAGCAGTTCACAGGTGGTCGCTCATCCGTCTGGCACAGTGATCACCTCGGTTATTAAAGCGCCAGAAACGAAACAGATCGGCGTGCAAGGAGCGCTGAAAGAAGAAGACAGTGACAAACTAGATGATACTGAGCAGTCGGAGCAGAGGTTTCAGCAGCAGCCGTTTGTGATGGTAGTATCCAGTTCAAATGGTTTCCCATCTAACGTGCAAGTGAAGCAAGAAGATGAGCCATTGGAACCAAATTCATATCAATAATTTTTTTTAAAAAAAGACCCTGTGGATGATTATTTTCATAAATGTGATGGGACCTTTTCACTTATGTATATATGATTTGATTCAGAAGCAAGATGTTATAAAGCTACTTAATTTCTGCAGATAATTGTTAGAAATCATGCTTTAGAACGGATTTTGATTTCCTGTTAATTGCTAAATGTTATCATATAAATAAAATTATATATTACTCGTTTCAAAATACAGGCATGAAGGAACATGCTTTTTTATTCTATGAAGACTTTCTCAAAGTTTCAGACTTCTTTCTTACTGTACGTTTTCAGCGTGTTGCTGATTTACATTGCAGTAACATTATTATAACCTTTTCTGTTTAATCTAGACATGTATCACTTAACTTTTGAAGCAACAGTTACTTTTAATGGGACATTTTCATTCCATGTGTATGAATTTTTATGATCAAGTATCTGTTTCATAGCGGTGAATTTACATCAGTTTTAGACTCTGATAACCAGGTATCCTCTTGCATTTTTTTTTGCAGCACAAGCTCTTGTGTGTGCAAAATTGAATATACACTCCTATTGAGAGTACAAAAAACATTTATTCCAGTAATGGACAATGCCATGTCTATATTTTATACGGAAACATCAGATATATTTAATTACAGAAGCTAACGGCATCACTACAGGTGCAGATGTTTCATGCCATTTTGTGACTATGAAGCTTAACAATCTTGCTTTCTACTTCAGATTATTTTGTAAGGGGGGAGGGAAATGAAATATATACAATTTATGCAGGTGTTCTGAGATTAATACTTCTAAGAGTTCTTTTTTTGATTGTAAATAATGTACATTCAATGTCACAAGGAAGTTTTTTCAGCTAATTTGTTTCCATACAAATTTTTGATAGATGCAAATAAGATCATTATGTTTAGAGGTCTAATGTTATATGTATTCATATTACAGAGTGAATTTGTATTTAAAGACAAATTTTTAAATGATGGAGCCCTCTGAACCTTGGGTCCTTGCCTTTTGTATTTTTAATTGGTTTATTATGAAAATAAATCAAGCGGAAAAACACTTCTCTGTATTTACTTGGAAATGTTTTTAGATTAATACGGTGTTTTGACGACCACTATGAATAACTACAACGCGCTGGACAACATGATTAATCCGTGTGGGTCTCTGGTGGGACACGAGCAAATAAGAAATCGATGAATTGCTTCTAGACAGACTTGAACACACCCTACACACTGTGAGCATGGTATGCTGTGAAACAACACTACTCACTGTATGGCTTTGGAGCTCAAATGAAAGTTGAACTGTGTCCAAGAAGTGGCCTTTTCTGTTGCTTCCCAATATCTCCTAAACAGCCCCAAACTTTCCATGTAATTTTGGGGTGCCATCCATCCATCACAGAGGGCCTTGTGGCCTGTGTACTTGCTGGCTGTTGGCTCAACCTAGCCGATTGCGATGCTTCAACAGGAGGTGGATTAAAAATCAGTATGATGCCTAGTGAGACGAGTAGAATGTAAAAAATCGAGGAAATACGTCTTTCTGTAAGTTTATATAGATTTATTGATTCATAAGGTTAATTTTAAACATGCAAGTAGTAGAAAAACTAAAGGTGAAAGAACACTGACAGGGATCTCTTGCTCTAGTTGATCAGAATAATAAAACTATCTAGCGAGCAGCGCTCTGCCACAGCTACCCTGGTCTTTGGCAGCTGAAACTGCCTCTGCACTTGAACATGTGGCTCTCTTCTCCCATCATGTGGCTCCCATGCAGTTAGGGTTTGACCCACAAACCCACACCCTGATCCCATTTTCAGTAAGCCTGGCCGGACCAAAGCAAGTGACGCCAGCGAAGTGGCCGTGGTGTATCTGGCAGGGCTTCTGCTGGCAGCATTACTAGGACCATGGCTTTCTGTTTCCCACTGACAAAAGCTCTGGAAGAGGCAGGCTACTCTTTTAATCAGACTACAGAATAAAGACTGTTTCCTGTAGGATGGGTATTTTTTAATACTAGGAAACCTGAGGGGGTAACTGACATCATAGTGTTTTTAACGGAGTGTGGGGGTTGTTTTGCTGACCTGTTTACTAGATAAATGAAAAACTACACCACAAGGTTACAGCTTTGTGTGTATCTCTTGCCATAGATGTGACTATCATGAAGGAAAGTGATTTGGGCAGCTTAGTGTATGTCAGATAGAGAAGTAGAGGAGACCTCTTATGGACAACAGGAGTTTATTATTAGCAGTCTAATGTGTAAATGAAGGTTTGTATCCTTTAGGCTGCAGTGTGTGACCCTGGTGTATCCACACTAGGCTCTCTCCTCAGTGCCCCAGCCCTCCACGGGAGGAAGCGGGAGCCGACCACAAAATGGGGGCTGGAGCAGCTCCCCTCCCGCAGCCGCCTTCCTCCGCGCTGCAGCAGCGGCCAGGCTACACATACAGCCTCAAAACCGGCTCAGAAATTAAAAACCAGAGGCTGCGGGAGAGCAAACACCAGGGGGGCTGCGTGACAGGAGGAGGAGGATGAAGAAAGAGGAGGCAACGGGCGCCAGGCGGCCGCCATCTTGCCGGGCGCCAGGCGGGGCGGGCGGAGCCTGGCGGTGCGGGGGGGGCGCTCCCCGTCAGGCCTCGCGCGCGGGGCGGCCCCGGGGCGCGGCGGCCGCGGCCTCTCGAGAAGTTTCCTGGGGGCAAGATGGCGGCGGCGCCTCCTCCCGCGCCTCAGCCCCCTGTGGCGCCGCGGTGAGCGCCCGCCAGGTTCCCCCCCTCCACCCCCCGCCGCCCTCCCTCCTTCCCTCCGCCTCGCCTCGCCCTCTCACGCCGTTGTGTTTCCTCGGCAGGTTCTCGGACGGCGACATCGACCGCGACCCGGCGGCAGCGGCGCGGGTGAGAGGCGGGGAGAGGAGGGGAAGGGGGCGTGAGGTGGCTCTCCTCAGGCTTTCCCCCGGCTTCCCCTCAGCTTTCCCTTCTCTTTTCCCTCAGCTTTCCCTTCTCCTTTCCCTTCTCCTTCCGACGAGCTGGGGATCCGCAGGGCTCCTTCCCCTCAGGTGTCCCCCCCCCCGAGGAGCGCCCTGGTGCTGCCTGAGGATGCATGAAAAAAAAAACACCAAACCAACCCTTTCTGTGCCATATAAATAGACCATAATTCGAATTTCTATGTCCGCTGCTACCAGTAGAAGAAAAATAAGCTTACTGAAGAAATGTCTTCAGTCTTTATTAGCTTTTGTCTTCCTGTCTTGTTCCTCCCCCCCCCTCCCCGTGTTTTACCCATTAACTCCTGCTGATGTGTTCTCAGAGGTTATTTTTCTTGAAAAAAAACAGCGGTAAAGAGAAGACAGAACTGGCAGATCTGTAGCTCTTTACGTACCTGGAAGGGAGGAGGATGTAAATGCACAGCTCTGCTCGAGCGCAGTAGGTGGTATAGGATAAGGTAATAGGGGATTACCTTTCCCTAAAGAAAAGGCCAGCTGAATCCTGCCCTTCTCTGGAGTTTCCTCTGTTGCTTGCAAAAGTTTTTCAGGAGATAAATGGCATCTAAAAAGGGATTTGGAATACACAAATATATCTGGTTTAGTAAAAATTAATTTAAGACCTAAAACCACCATAAGGTCTTTGGAAGTATTAAAGAGTACCATCAGAATCTGTCCATTTTTCTCTGTGTTAGTCTTGTCTAGTTAATTTTTCAGTTCTTTGTGTGCTCAGTGCCTTGGAGACTTTTTTGTCAGCTTCAAAATACCATTTAATGTTCTAGAGTTGTTATTTAGTGCATGTTGCAGTAAAGGGCGTACCTAAAAGCGCTGGTTCGAGAGGCAGGCTGTGCTTAGTGACCTCTGAGCTGGTGAGTCCCATGGTGCTACACGTGGTGCACCGTGCCTGCATGGTCCTAGGTGTGGCCTTTTGGCTCACGTAATTAATATTAACAACCTGGGACGTGACGCGCTGTATACAAGGCCTTGTGGAGTCTCTCTCCACACTTGACAGGACTTAGAGTGGCATTTCTGCGGTGTCCTCAGGACTTTGGGTTCCTTTAATTCCTGAAGCACATGCTTTGGCTTTCTGCACCTGATACGACTGGAAGGTCGTCCCCTGTGTTTAAATACTGCCTGAATGATAAAGCTGCCAAGTCCTCAATGGCTTCTTGTGTCATTTTAAGTTGGAAAAGTAGTCCACTTTGTGGACTATTTTCTATTTGCTTTTTCCTTAGAAAATGTTTCGCAGCCTAAGTGGTGATTATTTAGGGATAGAGTCAGAAGGAACTGATGAAAAAAACATTCATCGTATTGTTTGGGTGAAGTGTTCTGCCCAGTGAGGAAGAAGGGTTGGCAATTCCTTAAATTCAGGCACAGGTGAGACAGGAGACTGAAAGTTAAGTTGATGTTAAGCTGCTAGCTGTTGTTGCCACTTTGTTCCTGGTTGGTATAAGCATTTATGTGCCAGCAGTGAAAGAGAAGAGGGCATTGGTCTGAATTAAAGCTAAGGCAGGCCCTTCTGCTCTTCCTTTTTTCTCTGCCTTGGTGGGACTGTGTTGTGGCAGCTGGGTTGTATTAATGTTTATGCCTGTTTAAAGCCTGTATCTTAGCCACCTTCACACATGCTAAATTCTGAGTGGAAATCCAGTTGACTTAGAAAATTACTGTACTGCAGTCACGTACTGTAGTAGCTTCAGAAAACTTGCCAGCTTCTAGCAAAGACAAGAACTTTTCTCCCTCGTAAGGAGAGAGTTGGAGACGTTCTTTCCAGGTGTGTGCATGGAGTCTTGGCCATTTCATTACTGTGCGAAAATAATGAACTTGTCTCACAGAGTATAACAGAGTTATTTCAATCTGTGTACTCAATGATTTCCCTATCCAGGGACTACTTTATGCTTATTTCCATGGTGCAGCAATGTTCCCTGTGAGCTCTGTGCTGCCAGAGTCTTTTGTTCTCTTATTTCTCTTGCTCAGCATGCTTCAGAACCATCTCCCATGCTCAGTTATATCATGTAATGTAGGATTTCATCCTGTGTTACAGTGCTTTGAGGGTGTTATTCCTGCACAAGCATTTTGACACATTGTATATTCATTCTGAGTTCATGATACTGCACTGCTTCCTCAAATTGAGCAGACCTGTGTACAAATAGGAGAATTGTAGGAAAATTGTAGGAACATATGGGATCACCTGTGCGCTCGACTTTCAAATACCTTAAACAGGAAGTCCTGTTTTCTTCTCAGTAAGAAGCAGACTTCATGACTTGGATATAATTGGCAGGTTCCTTGTGCTTCAAGCTTTTTGGATGAAAACTGATCAATAGGTAAACATTCATGCCAGTTCAGGGTATTTCTTTCCCGAAATCTTAATTGACAGAGCTTGGTACTGTATCTTCATGGTGACTTTTGAGATGCCATTTCATGTTTTTCTGTGTCGTTACAGGAGCTGACAAGAGCTTTGGAAAAGAATCCAGATGATGCTGAGTGTTATTGTCAGCGGGCTTACGCTCATATTCTTCTGCAGAATTACGCTGGTAACATCTTCAGGCAACGCTGAGAATCCTCTTACAAGTGTATTATGACACATTCCTATAGCAGATGTCTTAAATGTGCAGACAAATTAGTAATAAGAGAAAGCCTTATAGATAACGTAGTTTGCTGCTTCTACAGTAGGGCATGCTTTTAAAGTCGTCTATCTTTGAGTGCTCTGTACCTGCAAACCTTTCAGTGAATTGGGTAGGCTGCGGGCCCAGTTTTTCATTTGATTTTAGCACACTGCTATCTTGGCAGCATTATTTTTAGTATATTTCTTGAGCAAACTATAAGCTTTGTGTTGTAAGCGTCTTCAATCCTGATGTGTGTTTTTTTTTTTTCTTTTTTTGTTAGGGACTGAGTATGGTTGTGGTAGGAGGGTGGCAACTGAATAATGCCTGGGAAACAGATTAATGGAATTAATTAAAAATGTCCTGCTTTGTCTTTTATGGAGCTCTGTGGCTGAGTGAAGGCTTTGTCCATAGCACTTGTCTGAATTTAATTTAATTAAATAGTGTGATGTGTGCAAGCTAAGAAAGCTAACGTAGTAGTGAATTTTTTTAAGGTGTACTCTAAGACTTGAAGTTCACTGCTTTTCGTAACATAAATGTTCTTCACCTGTAAACTGACTTTCAACAGATGCAGTTGCAGATGCAAAGAAGTCCCTAGAACTCAACCCCAGTAATGCTGTAGCACTTCTTAGGAAAGGGTGTGTATCATCGTATGTTGTGCTTGGAGAAAGTTGTGCTAATCTGTATGGCAACAGTAACATTTGAATTATCACTCCATACAAGCTTTTTGCAACACCATGAATGAGTAAACTCCATGTCATACTGCTTCTAAGCCATCTGTAATAAAGCTCTGATTATAAGAAGAAATAGTATGTTGTTTTTTTAAGATATGTACCTTGATTTTTGGGGTGGTTATCTTAACATTTTAACCATTTCAAAAACAGATTTCTTATGCGATTTAAATTCCAACACATGTACTTTTAACCAATACAGTTTGTAAACTGAGGATGTTGTTATCTTTAGGATGTGGATTAGATTGAAAAGTAATTACTGTTCCTTGTGTTTTTCTTTGTGTCAGGTTAGGAGAATATCACATCAAAAACTACGCTTCTGCTTTAGAGTCGTTCAAAGAGGGACAGAGGCTGGACAGTAAGTACTAAGATGTGTGCACAACACTCCTTTGCTGATGTCAAAAAAAATAGCTCTAATGTGTAAGCAGAAAGTGAAGAACAAGTGTTTTTTTAAAGGCTAATGAGTTGGGTGCCTGATTTGAGATATCTGGAATGGGTCTGGCTTTTGGGAAGACTTGAGCAATCCCTACCTGAAAGTGTAACACTGTAAAAATATGTATCAAAACTGTTAGCCAGTAATACCTGATTTTCTTGCCTTATAAAATGGGGGTGTTTCCCTGGTCCCCAGAGGTCTTGCAGATAAATGGTGGCACTGGTATGGCATTACGTGTCATAGAAAAGTTTCTGAACAGAAAAGGCTTCCTATTTGTAGCTGAAATTTTTTAGTTAAACCATTTGGTGGACTGGTCTTCAGAAAGAGCGTGCAACTTGTATTTGAACTGACAAAATGAATTGGTTTTACCTCCCACTAGATATCACTTCATTACAGAAACATATTTATTCTCTTCTTTTTTTTTTTCTTTAAGTGTTGGCTTCCCAGCTGGAACTGTGCATGTTTTATTTCGGGGAGAATTAGAGCTTTTAAAAATTTTTTAGAAGCAGGGAAGGAGTAGTTCAATGAAGAATGCTTTGGTATAAGATGCAGAGAAGCACACAACAAAGTAATTGCAAGATGGTTGTAACTCCTTTCTTTTTGCCTATCCCACATTCGAAATGCAACTCTCAACCTCATTCCATTCCCCTTATTCTCAACAGCAGAAAGAAATTGTAAGAAAAGCACCTTGAAAAGTTGCACAGCAAAGTGTGCTAATCTGATAAGAGTTATCGTGATCTATGATTTTCCTGGTATGTTATCTGTAACAATGCCAGGAGCCTGAAGCTTTACCAAAAATGTTATTAGATTGTGGTTCCCAAATAAGCAACCTGCTCCTCTGATCTAAAACTGGAGTTTGATGGCAGAGTAAGTTAATGAAAGTTCTTTCTGCCAAGTGGTTGTGCCCCTTCCCACTATGGCAGTTATTCAGCCTCCTCTTTCAATACATTAAGTCTGCAGAAAACTGCTGTTTTTAAAGAAAAAAATGCCTGTGAACTGATGTATTGAAACACTTCTGAAAGGCCTGAGTGCTGAAGCCAGCAGAATTGAAGTGATAATGGTGATGTGGTGGAATTCCAGCAACTGTCATCTTCTGTTTAGGGTGCTCTGGAATAGGAGCTGAAGGATGTAATTGAAGCTTTAATTGCTTACAAGTTCTTTCAGTTCTGGTAGCCTGGGTAAGTGGGTATTCTCCCCTTTTTGGTATGCTAGAAAATTGGATGAGGCAATCCAAAAAACTAGGCAAATTTTCTTGGATCTTCCTGTGAAAGGGAGTGCTTCCTTGTGATTTCTGTAGCTTTCCTTACTTGATTTCCTTACTTACTTCTGTGGCTTTCCTTACTTATTTCTGAAAACCTGTAACTTCTGAATTGAATCAGTAGTCACTTTAATCTCGTGTTAGTGGCTGACAGGACCAGAAATTCTCTGTATTTTTTCATCTTCACTGCGAGTAATTGCTATCGATCTGAGCTTTCTGTGTGCATAGATTTTATCACTTTTCTTGTCAGTTGGAGTTGTTCAAAATACATGGTGTGCACAAAAACTTCTGAGGCCAGAGCATCACTTCTTCATTCTCTTCAGCCTTGTATCCTACTTACGTTGTAAGGTAGAGCAGCACGTTGGGCTGCAGGTATCTTTGTGGCAGTAAATACCAGCATGCTTCTGGCTAACTCAGAATCCCTGACCAACAGCACAGCCTCCTGCTGTGCTGAATTGCATGACATCTGCCTGTCTGATTTTAATATGTCAGTTTTGCTGCTGACCCAGCTGAAGTGTTTCTGAAGGTTCCCTGTACTTCCTGATTACTTCCTCAACTGAAACTTGCTTCCAGTGTTCTTCGTCATTACAAATCCTATGGGCTATTGTGAGATGAGGGGTCTCCTGAAGACTTCTTTGAAAAATACAGGTTTTTAGGTGATTCTCTTGAATATATCACCCGTCTTGCTGGCAGGTTCATGCCAGTGACAGAATTTGCCTTTGCAGTTCTGTGGAATGTTTGCTGGATCCTAGGTGGAAAGGCTTGTGAGCATGAGCATTTTGGCATAGCAGTTAACCAGTATTTAAGTGCAAAGTGAAAAAAGGCTATAATTAAATAAAAATGGGGAAATGAACCACTAAGCAGGTGATAAGGAGATGTTAGCTGCTGCTGCCTTACAGGGAATTGCTGTGGCAGGGAATTCTTTGCTGACAAGGCTGTTTTCTTTGCCACACAAGGGGGCAGAAGTACACCATTACATGTTCCTTGCTGATGTAAGATCTGTTTTAAGTCTTTGTAATGCTCAGGGAGATGGGCTTGCTGCTTGTGCTCATTACTGGTAGTGCTGACGGGCTCAGGGAACTACAGCAAGCTTCCCATTACCCACCTACAGCGACAGCTAAATAGGACTTGGCATGATGAATTACTGAATGTGCATAATGAATACTGAATGTGTAAGTAAAAACTTGATTTTATAAAATAACATTACGAAGCAAAATTTCTTGCGCTCAATCAGGAGATGATGCATGTGAATATATGGAGTTCACTAATTTGCCTCAGACTGAAAAAGCAGTGTTACCTGCTGCTCTTTGGTACATCACAGGGATTTAGGACAGTTACACTTGAGAAATGTTCTTGAATTTTGCTGTGACCACCTAATGGATTTGGTAAAGGTGAATTCTGCCAACTTTTTAAAGAAAATGTCTCGGTAGGTGCAAGTGAAGACCCAGGTAGTCTTTCTGAATTAGAAAGTCATTAGTTGTTGTTGGTAAATTCCTCAGGAGAATACTTTAATTACTGAGTAGTAAATAAATTTGCCTCTAATTGTGATGTGCTGGTATGCAGGAAAAGAGGCAGTGGTTGGCAAGGAGATCTTTTAGGGCAATAAGTCAGAAAGCTCCAGGCCTTTCTTACTGAAGTTTGTGTTGCATGGCAATCTTGTCATAGGCTATAATTAAGAAGAGAATTCATCACTTGCTGCTGAAAGTCTGAGGTTGGATCAGTGTAGATTTGTCTGTTTCCCTTTGCTTTAGGCCCTTGAACTTACTCTATTTCACTTCCTTTTTAATTAATAAACTTTGTTCCCAGGTGCAAAAATTCAGAGAGCTGTTTTGGAGGGCTGTGGTGTGTAAAGCTTTGAAAATTAGAGAATAATTTAAGTTTCAGGGAAGCACTGGAGTTCAGGAAACTCCGTGCCCTGGCCAAATTAACTTAGAAGTTGCGTGTGTTTGCCTAGGTCCTTTGACAGCTGAGACTGAAGATGTCACAGCCTCTTTTGGCAGTCAGCTCCACTGTTGTACTGCCCTTTCATTAAAATATTTTCCTTATCTAATCAGAACTTCCTTTGCTGCATCTTTGGTCTCTTTCCTTTCCCTGTACACTTGGAGGAGTCCAGGTCAGTTGTCCCTATGCCTTAGGTATACAGTGGGTAATTGAAAGCAGCCTTTTGGTCCCCTCTGCTTAATGTTGGAGGTTTCCATCTGAAAGCAGGTATTTTGTTTTCAGGATTTGTTAGGAATATAAAAAAGACTTATCAAAAGCTGATTGCCTGGTAATGTCAAGATGGCCGTATTCTTATTTCAGTTTCTATCTTTTCCTAACAGCATCTGAGAGGTTACATAAATGTTATGTAACTTAAAATTTAGGCAACTTTGAAGATGATTAGCAGGGATAGCAGAAGATAAGGAAAAAGAAATGCTTCGGAGGAGTTGGTAGCAATTTTAAGTCACACCTCAGAATTTGTGTATGCTTGCTATCTGAAAGGATCGAGGTGAATACGTTGCAGAACTGCAGTGGAGCTGCATTCGGTGTTACGAGCATGTTGGCTGGAAACAGTGGTCTTTTTTTAAGCTTCCTCAAGCTCTCTGCGGGGAATTTTACTGTGTGAACTCCCTCAATGTGAGTTCCTGCTACTGCAAAAAGATAAATTTAGCCAGTCTTAGTAGTTGGTCAGTAATATTGCTACTTCGTTTGTAACATTCCTGACTGTGAAGGGTTTTTCTGGGAATTTTGCTGAAATAAGAAGATTATTCTGCCATTGTACTGCTGCCTTTTTAGCTATTTTCCAGTGATATATATATATATATATATATATATTTTGTCTGGGGAGCTTGTTTCCTAGACTTATCAATGTCTTTATATTTTTTTTTCTGTGGTTTTGATGTGTAGAGTGGAATTGGCACCTACATATCTCTAATGTCATTGATACTGTAGATGCGTATGTGAAGTATGTGTGAAACCACCAGGAGAAAAGAAAATACTTCGTGCTGGTGAAAACTTGCACCACTTTGGATTGTCCACAGAACAGACTCTTTTTTCTGATACTTCTCTGGAGAGGCAGCATGTGGCTGAGTGCTTGGAAAAAGGATTTTAAGGGTAATGGAGAAGTGTGTGAAACAGTACTTCTTGCTCTCCAACTGCCATATAAAGGTTGAGCAGATTGGAAAGCAGTAGTATAAATGGGTCAGTCCAGACAAAAAGAAATTGGTGTGCTACAAATTAATTTCAGTTAATTAAATGTAACAGAATTAAGTAGTAGAGCTGTATAAAAATGTTTAAAGCTTAACTGAAATGGCAGAGGTTATACGAGAAGATACTGGGAAATAATAATTACAATTTATTAATTGATGCAAATTTGGGTGAATTTGTTCCAGCTGGTGGTTGAAAGAAATTGTTCTTTATTCAATACACGTAGTGCTTGAAGAGTCTTGATGTTACTGTGTTTGATTTCTTCTAGACGTAGATGATACCTTTACTATTTGGATCAAAAGATGTGAGGAAACACTAAACGGTAAGAAAAAGTGCATTTACTCGATGCAGGATTTCATGTAACCTCTGCTTTGAATCTGTATTGTTTACAGCTTGCTTCTTGAAACAGTTTTTGTGTTTTTAAAAAAAAGTTGCACTTTCCTATCCCTTGTTTCTTTCAATTATATGTTCTGAACTCTTCTTTAGTTCAGAGTTAAATTAATATTATGATTTTAATCTAATAATAATATGTGACAGAGGAGTACTCATTTCAAGTTCAGACAATTTTAACTCCCTTTCATGTACTTTCCAGCTTATTTTAAGTGTGGAAGCCTGTCAGCCTTCTTTCTAAAACCAACATCAAAATAAATTCTCAAGTCTTGCAGAAAATAAAGTTCGAAAGAGCAGTGGAAATTTGGTGATGTCACTCTTTCATTCTACATGGAGAGTGCCTTTGGGTACTCTCTGCTCTGGTGTCTTACCGTGGCAGTCAGCTTCCTTTTGTATCTTCCTACAACCTGATACCACAGTGCTTAAACTGCCTGCTGGTTTTAATGAGGTATATCAGAATAGCTGACTTTTTTTTTCCTCTGCCTGTTAAAACTCCCCCTCCTCCCCAGTGTTTATTGGAGAATGGGGCAGTAGAAACAATACAAGTTCATGTCAACCTGTTGATTACAAACTTAGTAGAGGAGAACCCTTTTGTGTTACATAGGAATGTACAAATCTATGCCTGGTAGTACTTTTTACCAGGTTTAGGTTTGTTTGGAGAAACTATAAAAGTGGTAGGCATGCACTTGGTCTTACCTGCAGAGTTATCTCGAGTGAAAACTTTCTCTGTCTCTGCAGAGAAAGAGTTTATAATACACATTTCTCAAATATCATAACTACCTCTCCCAGTTTGTTTTGTCTGGAGAAATGAAATTGCACTGTTTTATCTTGTCTCTTCATTTCTTTTCTTTTTTTTTTATTTTGAGCTATTTTCTTAATTCTCTGGTACTACAGCAACAACAACAACAAAAAAAAGCTTTTTTTCGTGACAAGTTAAAATTATTTTTTCATTATTTTTACCTTTTTAGGAGTACAAAGTATGAAGGACCAAAGGAAAAGTTGGTTTCTTTTGAAACCTTTGAAACACTCTCTGTCAGGATTCTATCTCATTTGCCAACTGTTGTTGCCCAGTATGACATACAAATTTGATGAGAACTTGGTCCTATTTCTACGTATGCATGATATCCTAGTACAGACTTGTAGGAAGTGATTTTTTTTTGTACCATGCTTTTGATTACTTTATAAAAAAAAAAAAAAGGTTTCTATAGTTTCCTGATAAGGAAAATGTGGGAAGCCTGTTCCTTTTGTTAATCAGAACATGTTTTATATCAGTTGTTTCTTTGCAGAAGTTGGTGATTGAAATGGGTAGCGTGAATAAAAGTAAAGGGCTATTAAAGCAGAAGACTAGAGGTAGAACTGGCATGTCTTTAACTTCTGTAGTGTTGAGAATGGGATAAATGCAGAATGGCTAGAGTAAACGAAGAAAGATGTCATGTAAGTCAAATGTTTTTTTTCTGAAAGTACAAATGTTTTTGTTTTTTTTTTTTCCCCTGCAGGCTCACAGACAGAAATGGTAAGGTGTCTTCCTTAATATATTTACTGCTTTGATTCTTGCCTTTAATGTGCTTTTAGAGTTCTGTGGCGTCTGGAAGCTTCCAAATGTTTTAAAATAATCTTTGCTGTTTGATAAAATTCTGAAGGATCTAAACATGTTTTGAGACCAAGGATGCAAAATTTGAATGCTGAAAACCTAGGAGTGGTGAACAAATCTGGAAATTGCTGTGCACTCATTAAAGTCAATTTTAACTTTCTTGCTTGCAGTCTGTGGCTCAATTCTAAACAAATTAACCAGCTCATCTCATCAGTGCCAACTCACTTGTAATTGCTAGAAGATAGCTTCTTTTTCCCCAGTAGCTTGCATGTGTTTTTTTCAGACTTCTTTGGTTTTGTAATTCAGCAGAGTCTTTCTTTTTTAATTGGAAATTAGAAGAAATATCAAAAGTGACCTTTCTTGTTTGGTTAGTCTTTTTTTGGAGACCAGGATGTGAAGTTGCTTTGGGTGTTCTGCTCCCTTCTTTGTAGTTATTTCAATTTTTTATGCCTTAGTAATAGGATAGAGGAGGAAAGTGTACAGAAATGATGGGTGTATGTAAAGACAAATCTTACCATTAAAAGGATTTTTTATGTTGGAGAATTATGCCTGAAGTTCTCAGATCTATTTCAAGCTTTCTTTGTGACTTAAAGATGAGCAGCATAGCCACTGTGTGTCTTTCAGATCTTCTTATTCAGAAAGGAAACAAGTTGAAGCTGAACTCAATTGCTATTTATCAAATGTGTGACCCTGTATTGTAAGATACATTAAATATATACACTGTCAGTCTGTAAATTGTTTGAAGTCTGTCATAAATGGCTAGGAGAGAAGAGTTTTCAGCTTTCTTATGTACATTAATGCACATGCATAAGTCAGGAGAAGAGAAATTATCAGTATGAAAGTTATTTGTCTTTATTTATATATGTCTGTTATATTTTCTCTTACTGATACAACTTCCCAATGCAATGTGTTCCAACCAGAATACACAACAGCAACCTCTGTCATCAAAGATCAAGTAAGTTGTCTTTAGTTTTGCTGCGAGAATTAAAGTAATTGACGTATAACTGTTCTTTGCTGATTGGAGATGCAAGATAATAATTGTAGTAATTCAGCAGAAACTTCACAAAGTGGCAGTGTAAGTGAAATGACCTGCCCATAGTGCCTGGTAGAGGTAATTTTTTGAACTATTTAATTCAAGAAAGTCAAATAATATGAATTGGTTGATGTGGCCCACTTCATACAAATTTATTGATAAAAAAAAAAATATTCTTTAACTACTTGTCAAGACTGCAACTGTGTTGTTGAAGGGGAAGAAGTTTAATTTTGTACATCTTCTCTCCCATCCCCCCTTTAAACTACACAATAGTGTTTTAGCTTTTGTGGGTTTTGGATTTTTTTTGTTCTTAAATGTATCCTTGCAGATAACTTTTCCTGCTTCTTTTTCTGAAGGTATGACTGGTACCAAACAGAATCTCAAGTCATCGTGACTATAATGATCAAGAATGCGCAGAAGGATGACGTCCGTGTGCAGTTCTCAGAGAAAGAGGTGATTTATGTTGGCTGTTGATACACATCCTTAAATTTCACGAGGCGTAGTTATTAAAAGGGAACATCACTTGCTGGAACAGCAGGAAAAAGTGGCAGAAGTAGCCTTCTGCCTGAGCATTTTTATGTACAGTGAACAGGGAGCTGTTGCCACAGCAGGGTCTGTAGGATTTATGCACAAGCCAGAGTGTGTTGTGCATGCTGCAGAAGGAACAGCTGTTCTTCAGCTGCCTGGGTGTTTGGAGGGTTGGGGAGGAGGTGATCTGAAGTTAAAGTGTTTGTGTGTGCATGCGTCTGGAATGTGAACGGACAGAAACAAGGTACTCTCAAAACAGTTATGAATAAGTAATATCGTGCTTTAGTACCGTTACGGAAAAACAACAGCGGGTAAGTTCATCTCGATTTTTGTATCACTGCAATTGATAATGGCAACAAAGTGTGTTTCAAGGAAGTACTGTAATCACTGTTGTAATGCCATATGTGGTACTGATGACTGTTTAATTAAGGGTGAATATTGAGCAGGTAGGTTATTCTCAACTAAGTTGGTACTTGGTGAGCCACAGAAGTGTCTGTTTGATCCTGTCTGCTTTAACTTGTGGCGAGTGCTCACAGGAGTTTAACATAGCTTGCATATATTAGAAGGGAAGTTGCAAATTGTTTTCATGGTTCATTATGAAAGTGTTGATACTCCATTTGCCATATTTTTCCCTAAAGAACGCAGATCAAGCTGACAAGATAATAGGCTTTTTGAGCGCACGCTGGCTAAAAACCGAAATCTCCTGTTCATCTTTGTAGTGTACTGTAAAACACCTTGTTGAATAATGCAGGAGCGTAGTGGTGGTACCTGAAATTCTGATGCCTGGTGTTTTAAGTATCCTAGCGAAGGCTTGTTAATTGAATCACTTAGTCTTGGTGCCAAATGACAATCCTTTACTTGGAAATGGAAAACTTCTCTTAAAGATGACCAGAGATGTGTTTTTGACTGTTAACAGATGAGTGCATCGGTGAGACTTCCATCAGGTGAAGACTACAACTTAAAGCTTGTTCTTCTTCATTCTATAGTGCCAGAGCAAAGTACATTTAAAGTGCTTTCAACAAAGGTAAGCTCTTCTTAGTGTAAATCATTTCTTTGTCTGTTTCTGACGTTGAAAATGTTTCTGCTCTATTGTCATGTCTCATTACCGCAGTCATAATGTCTTGCTTTTCATATAGAAGTGTTTTTCTTTCTTCAAGGTGCCTTTCAGCCACTGGAAAGCTTTCTAAACTTGTGCAAGAATCAGAACTAGTGACGTGATATGTTGCTTACTGAAGTGCAAATCACAGTTACATTGAGGATGCTTTTAACTGTTGCTGTTGAAAGATGACTGTGGTCTTTACTTTTACATTTGGGGTATTTGGAAAGCGTGAATGATTTTTTTTAACTCAACTTTTAGGAGTCGATACTGTCTTATAGAGTATTGTCATCTTTATGTGCCTAAAATAAATGTCAGACCTGTAGGATTTCAGGGTTGAAATAATTCTTGACCCTTTCATGACTTTTTCCTGCTGGTAAAAGTTACTCATAGTTATCTGTTCTTGGCTTTTCACAAGGCTTGTCATAATGCTTGCTTGGAGACACTTGGAAGTTGCATGGCATGAAAGAGAATGCTTTTACCTCAGCATTTTGTCTTCCAGATTACAGGTATAGAACAATAAGGAACTGACTGTGTTCCGGTGTGGCATATCGTAGCATAATACGTACACAGACATGTTCAGACTTGGCTCTGCAGACAACCTACCTCTGAAGCAGGAATAAATGTTTTCGTTTCTTTCCTTCTATTTCAACAGTAGTTTTATAGAGCTTTTGAAAATTCCATTGCTTTCTCATGTTCCACTTTACCTGCAAGCTTCAGAAAGGTACCTATAGAAGTTATCACATGTTTTCAGGGAAAAAGGAACTTCAAGATGACATGAGAAGATTTCCACAAAGTTGGTCTTGTTTTTCCACTCCTCACACTAAGGAAGCTGGGCAGGTTTTCTGGTTGAATCATGTGAATCATAGGATGGTTGGGTTGGAAGGGACCTTAAACACCATCTAATTCCAACCCCCTGCTGTGGGCAGGGACACCTCCCACCAGCCCAGGTTGCCCAAAGCCCCATCCAGCCTGGCCTTGAGCACCTCCAGGGATGGGGCATCCACAGCTCCTCTGGGCAGCCTGTGCCAGGGCCTCACCACCCTCAGTAAATAATTTCTTCCTTTTACCTAATCTAAACCTACCCCATTTTAGTTTAAAACTGTTCATCCTTGTCCTATAGCTACACTCCCTGACAGAGTTCTTACAAAGCGGGAGATGAAACCGAGTGCTTGAATTAAGTGTAAAGTCTGCTACTCTGTTATTATATATATATAAATGTAAGTGGAATGGACAGGTGCCCTGTCCAAATGAGCAGCTGTGAGGTCCTGTTTGCGTTTATTCCTATCTAGCTAGTGTTAGACTTTTCATAGCTCTTGGAGTTTGCTATTCTGTGAAGTATTAGGCCTGTGTCTCAGCGCTCCTGAAATTATCACGGCTGTCTTCCTATGCTACCATCCCCAGCCTGGGTTAATTATTTGAATCATCTCTAGTGGTCTGGAGCATGGTTTAGGCTGAGATTCTTAAAGTGGTGCGAAAGCTTTTGTTGCGTTCAAGCAGTGTCTGAAGTGTAAGGATTTTGCATTTATTTCTAAATGTTACCGTTCCTATGTGGTTTTGAGAGAACAATTTTAAGGCAAGGCAGGGTAAGAGAGAACACAGGAGAGGAGTTGTAACAGGTGAAGTCAGCGCTTCTGTGCACACTTCCTCTTGTGGAAAGGAGAAATACAGGGGGGACACTTGCGAAAGCACAGTGAAAGATACAGTTTGGATGATGCATCAGCTAATTCCAGTACTGACCAGCAGATGGAGTCTCAGTGAAGAAAATATTTTATAGCAGGCCTGTATTAAAGATGGTGAAGCATGCAAAGTGCTCTTTAAAGACTTAGTGTTTCTCAAAGTAAAATATTCTAAGCGCTTTAAGGGAAATGGTGCAGTGTCAGGGTTTGAATACTAGAGATGTAGATTTCTTTGCAACAGTTTTGTGTATGTGCTTTGTTCACATGAACAGGATGGAAAATATAGTTATTACTTTGAATAAACCATCTTAATACTTCTTCACAAAGGAATTTGTGTCACTTACATGGAGTTCTTCTGTAAGGACTTGGAAAGGAAGACTTAATTCTATTGTCTTCCCGATTATACAAATGTTTTACTGTATCTGGTTCTTTGACCAGATGGGCTGAGGTCTTGTTAGCAGTGGAAGCAGGTTAAGTGGACTCCTGGAACATGTCTTGTTTATTTTCATCCGAGAGGTGTCCTGTTGTCCTGTTCACGTGTTCTTAAATATTTTTCCGGTGTGAACCAGGATGGTAAAAAGGAATGTGATGTGAAAGGAGACTCGCTTCAAAAACATGTTTTGTTGGAACAAAAACCATACTCTGCCAAGCAACTCATTTGGAGTACCTCTAGGCCTCTCTTTCTCATTACAAACAAACCAGAACATACAAGCAAAACAAAAACCCACCCAGAGCCCTGATAAGAGTGCAGACTGGGCCAAGAGGAGGGAAAAGGCTCTCCAAGTGTACATGCGTATCACAGCTAGATGGGATTTGAAAGACTCAGAGGAGTGGCGACAGGAGGCTGTATTTGGGAGGACTCTTGTCTTTATGGCACTGACAGACTTAGTGAGGTCTGTTCATCTTGCTGTGTGTTGGAAGGTTTGAAGACTGTTTAGCTAAGGACTAGAGCGGGGTGAGTGTTTTCTCTGAGCTGCTGATAGCAGCGCCTGAGAAACGGATATTTTAAGCTGGCAGGTTAAGTACAGATAGAGATTAGGACATGGCTGGAAAAAATCATTCTCATGTTCACAGCCTCTGGGATGAGCTCGCTGGCTTCCAGCAGTGGCTTTTGTGTTCTCCCAGAGCTATCAGAGCCACTGGGTTCAGCCAGGGTCTGACTGCTGGGCTGGTTCCCTGACTAGCAGTGGTCCCTGGCTTCACCTTTCCAGTGAACTTAACCCTGCCAGAGCTTTCTCAGAGTCCCTTTGTGATTCCATCAGAAGGAATCCTATCCACTTGGAGTAGACAGTGGCTCTTTCCTGCTTAGCTGAGCTCCCAGCCTGGATTTCTGCTGGACAAAGGTTGAGGGATTGCTCCTGGTCTTTCTTTCCAACTATGGTGAAACAGAGCATAACACGCAGGCAGGTTTTGCACTAGATAGACTTTGAGTTTCACATAAACCTCTTAGACCTAATAAATGTAATGGATGGAGGATGAAACAAGAGAGCTGGCAGATAATAAAGCAATTGTGCTTGTTTTGGTAAGTAAGAGATGCTGGAGATGAATCTCTCAGTACTGCTTAAAATTCAGCATCGCTTGACAAATGCAAAACGATAAAGGTAAAGATGCAAATTCAGGAGGAGAAAATAGCCCTGGTTTTATTTGCAGAATTACAGATTCTGAAGTGACTGCGAACAGCAGACAGAACTTAAAGGCTTGGTTCTCTCAGAGAATGTCAACAGTAAAAAATGCAATTGCTACATTAGGCCTTGTTTCTCTGATGTTATTGTTTAACTTCCAATCTGGCAAAGGTGTCTGACTGCTTAGAAAACACTACTAGGTTAACCTGATAGAGCAAAAGGTAGCAGCAGCTCCAAAAGTTACGTATAAATTAGAGATTTGTGTCTTATAAACAGAAGCTGGTCTGGTCTTTGAAATTAGGAGGGATTTTGTGTGTAGGTAGGATTTGTTGTATTTTGGTGGCCATCCCCAGTTATGTTCAGGTGTCGGGTGAGGTGGGGAAGACCTGCACCACACTGAGAACTGCACGTTGCATTCAGCAGTTAACAAAAGGTGAGGTAACTGCTAGTGGTGCTGCTTGTCTTATTTATTTCCAGCAGAGGGAGCCAAAATGTAAAGGCTGGAGCGAGTTTGCTCTTTGGAAGTTGCCTGTGTGGAATTCTCCTTCTGCTCCCATCATAACAGGAAAAAGGCCTTGCTGTGGTGTAACTCCGTCAGGCAGCTCAGCCCCAAGCAGCCACTCTCTCTCTCCAGGTGGGACAGGGAGAGAATCAGAAAGGTAGAAGTATGAGAGTGCATCGGTTGAGAGAAAGGCAGCTACCAGGTAAAGCCAAAGCCACCGCTCCAGCAAAGCAAAACAAGGAATCCATTTGCTGCTTCATGTTGGCAGGCAGGTGTTCAGCCACTTCCAGGGGAGCAGGGCTCAGCACACACGATGATTTCTTTGGAATACAAATGCCATCACTTCAAACATCCCCCCTCCTCCTTCTTTCCCCCATCTCTTATTGCTGGGCATGACACCATGTGGCGTGGGACATCCCTTTGGCCACTTGGGGTCAGCTCTCTGGGCTGTGACTCCTTCCAGCTCCTGGTGCATCCCCAGCCTGCTCACTGGCAGGGTGGCACAAAGGGCTGAAAAGTCTTCTGTAAACACAGCTCTGCAAAAACTAAAGAAAGTGTGCTATCACCACTATTTTCATCAGAAACCCAAAACAAAATCATATGAGCCTCTACGAAGAAAATGAACTACTGTCTCAGCCAAACCCATGACAGGCATACAGACCTAAAATGAGTGACTGAATACATTTAAGGCAGAGGAGCTGACTTGGCTGTGTCCAGCAGATAGAGCAGGGAATAGAAATGCACAAGTAGTGCAAGGATTTTTGATGTTCTGAAACAGTTCACAGTGCACAGTCAGCCCCACTTTCTTTTCCCTCTTCTGTTCCATCTGTCAAGCAGTTGGGATTCCAGGGGAATATTTGGCTATGTTCTCTTAGAAATGCGTGTTGTGTGTGTGTTTCTCTGGGTCTTCATTCATGTTCTCGATGCTGCTCAGGAATTTCTCATTCTAGGTGAGATTTCTCATTCTTCTAGGTGAGGAGAGTGAGGATGAGTATCTGCTTTTTTGTGTGTCCTTATCCTCTTGAAGGAAACCTCAGCTGGTACTTTCTCTTTTCCTTCTTCTCTGCTCCTGCATCTGCAAATAGTCTGGGAACAATTGCTGTGAGTTTTCACTTTTTTTTAGTG